CTGACAGTCCTGGTCTGTCTTGGAGCCAGAACAGATTTGCTTATCCTAATTTGCTTGTGTGTGTCAACCACAATTCTTAGTTCTTTTTCTTGTTATTGCAAACTTTGCCAATTCTGTTGGACAGTGTCATTTTACATTTTGACCATGGCCACTCACTATACAGAGTATGTAGAAAATTGAACCCTCGTATGATATACTGAAGGCAAGAGGAAGAGGAGGAAATGGTGAATGATCTGCTTAAGTTTGTGCAAATGGATGACACAAGAGACAAAAAGGGATAGTAAAGAGTCAAAAGTTATTTAGAGCAACAAAGAGAAGTTGTGGAGAGCCATGATCACTCATGTCCTGAAAGGAAATAGGACATAAAAGAATATACAAGGTACCCAGTAAGAAAGTGGCAAGTTTATTCTTTGAGAAAATACACCAGCACTAATTGGTCCATCTTAGTGGCCCTCTAAAAGCCCAGATCTGAATGTATCTCGGAGGCATGGTGGAGTAATGGATGGAGGCTCAGATTGAGGAATCGGAGAGCCGAGTTTGAATTCCAGTTGAATCCATTACATTCACTTATGTGCTAATACTCTTGAGAAAGGTATGAAACCTTTTTTACCTTATGGGTAAATAGCATGACAGACTGGGTTCTATAGCCTTGTATGGAAACTGGTCTACTGCAGAAAGAAATGGCAACCTACTGCTGGGAAAAAAAATCTGCCTTGTCAGTCATGTATTGAAAGATACATGATCACCTAAGTGTGTATCACACATGGCACATAAATGACTGTATATGTAGTATACTCCTAATTCACTTGCAAAACCGTTGTTGTGACATCCTAGATATCGATTCATTGAAAGGAAACTTAACTGGAGCTTGGAACAGAATTCCTCTTGACCCTATTCGCAAAGATACTGCTTCCTGGTTACCATGCTTACTTTTTATTGAATATTCAGGCAAACATTTGAACATCTGCAATGTTTGTGCAGTTCATGCATGACTCATGATAGACTGTTTACATTGTTTGGACTATTGTCCTCATCTTTGTTGCCATATTTATCATAACATTTTGGCTGTTGTTCACACCACCCTTCTTCAGGTGGTTAGAATGTCGAACTGAACCCTTTATTTCGCTTACTTGGGTAAGCTGTTCTAGTTCCACATGCCATGTCTAATGGATATCAGTTATCTCCTGTCTTAACCAGGTATTGAACTCACTCTTTGGGTTCTGTCACTGGATTTAACTAATGTATGTGTAAATAGTGTACATAATACCTCATCTCAGAAATATGAACAGAGATTCATGATAGCTAGATAAATTTCTTTGGTCCTGTTATTTTTTTTTATTCATCCTACTGGTTTTACTGAATAATCATGACTCCTTTACTTCAACTTAGTTATTTTCTGAATTAATAAATTCAATATTAACAGTGCATATGGCGCCACATTTTAACATTAAACTTTTTAGTAAGTTTCTATATTGTACGAATTGAAAATCAATAAAGGGATTGTCAGTGGTGAGGAATTAATGCAAGCATTACTGATAGAATAAGACTTATATGTCTAATGTAAATATATTGCTAACGGTCTTGCTCTAGCAAGACAATGTATAGGTGCCAGTAAGAGAAAAGTCCAAGATGTGATCTATAAATTGGAGATGTAAAGATCAATCTAGTGCAAGAAAGTTTAAAAATTTGGGAAATGTTTTAACAAATGATGAAAAACAAAGTCTGAGGGCACATTAAAAGACACTGTCCAAAAATGAAAATTAAGAAACAAGGAAAATTTCAGTAAAAAGAATGTTGAGTTGCAATGGAATATCAATCTTCAAGAACAGACCAAAAATGGAATATTACTGCCATGTCTGGGCTAGAGCTTCCCCTTTCTAACTTGCCTGTCTTGATAGAGTTTAAAAGCATCTATATGGCCTTGTGGGTGATGAATTATTTCCCCAGAGACAAAACATTAGAAGCCTCTTACTACTATGTTGCTATTTCTATTGTAAGTGTTCTGATAAGCTACATGCCTTGGTTCCACCAACCCTGACCTTTGCAGCTGGGAGCTACCATGCCACATACATATGAATGAATCATCCCCATTCCTTTTGTATTCCATTGGTAAGGAGTAAGTTCCATTTGGACAGCTTCTTTCCAGGAACTGTTTCTTTATGGAACAGACTTCTGGCAGGATGTTTTCTCAATCCCTACAATCTTGACCTTTTTCTGATATAATGATATACACTTGTTTTAGAAAATGCAAAATGACTCCTGCATAATTTGATACATTATTCAAATTATAAAACCCAGCAGTATGCAAAAGTCAATTCCATATAGCAATTTAGGTGTTTATTAGGGAATAATTTCAGTCATAATATATATATATATATATATATCTTGGCTGGAATGTTTCGTTCTTGAAGACATGTTTTTAAATAGAAAAGATCAACATGTAGATATTTCACAAGATGTAATTGATCACAATGTCATTATAATGGTAATTTACTGTTGATTTTGAACTGCAGTTTCTTTTTTTTAACCTTGCTTGGGGTGAAAAGCCACTAAGATGCAAGCAGTGGGGTGTGTGAAAGAACCTGAGCAAAATCATTAAGTAGCGTGGACAGTAAAAGAACAGGAATTAAGGGGGCAGAAGATGACAATTGATGCGGCATTTAAATTTTTGAAGATCAAATTTGACTGGAAATCAAGAAGCTGGAAGGGAGTATCACAAACGAGAAGTGTAAGAGAAGAATCTGTTAGCATAGAATTTATGGTTACATTTAACAATTTCAAATGTAAAATCATGAGATCTAACTTCCAATCTAGTACTGTCCTTAAATTTGTAACATGGAGGTACCAAAGTTCAAGAATAAGACAGCTGTTCCTTGGAAGTTTTAGCCAGTCACATTTGGTGAGAGAGAATGCACTTAAGTTCATTGTAATATATAATTTTCTACTGGAAGATCTGTCAACAACTATCATTAATATTTCTCTCTAAATGCCATGTCTCATCAGGACATAGATGGTCATGCTTCTTTATAAACTGTATCGAAATGCCTATTCTTGGGAAAGACAATGGATTGCTTTCTCATTGCCTTCTCTATGTTTGTGAATTCAGAGTTGTCTCATCTAAACTCTACTATTTTGCATATAGCTCAGAGTATAAGATGAATTCATGCCTTTCCCAAGGGCATTAGTGACAAGTGAACACAAGTTACCTCTGGCAGAATTTGAACTCTGGATCCCGATTCCATTTCTGCACTGTAAACCATATGCACCCCCACTTGTAGGTTAAGAACCCCCCACCCGGCCAATGTTAGCTAAATTTATATTTCAGATGTTGGGAGCAATCACCAAATATATTAGAGAAATCTTAGAAGTGTCTTTGAGGCTTATTCAGCTTTGGCTATCATTCACCTGTAGCATATTGTTTACAACAGGGTCTGACAAAGTGGGGGATTGTGATCCACCAAGGGAGTGCATATAAATTAAAGGGATCACAAATGAAATTGGGAAATATTTTCAGTCATTATTTGCTGGTTATTGCAATTTTTCTTAGAAAAAAAAAAATAAAAAAATAAAAAAAATAAAAATAAAAACTGATTGCACATTTAAAATGCAAACATCAACAAATTTAAAATTTAATAATAACCAGGTTGAAAAATTTACATCATATTAAAATATTTATATTACAGGAATGAAAAACTATATAATGTAGTTCCCCCTGAAAGAATAAAGATGAAGAAATTGTCTCAGGGATGGTATTTACCCTGAACAAGAATCTTGTAGGCTGAAAATTATATTTTTCTTGAAAACAAATTTTTATATCTTTTTTTATTATATTTTTTCTTGAAAACAAATTTTTGCCTTCTGTAGTGAACCCCCAAAAAAAACCCAAACGAAAAAAAAAAAAAAAAAAAAAAAAACAAACAACAAAAAACACCAACGATTGATTTTACTGGAAAAATGCCAAATCCTTCAGGTAAAGATGACCTCCAATTTTTTTTTCTTTTCTTTTCCCCCCCAAATGATGGTGACGAGGTGATAATTCTTGTTTACAAAATTTACAAATACTCAAAAGACAGGAGAATGGATGACACAGAAATGAACACTTGTCAACATTTTAAATATTTATCACTCTCTTGAGACAATGCCACAATAGAAATTATTTTTGGAAAAAAAAAAAAAAATGATAGATGGTGATCAAAAAAATGAATTTATTACCAAAGTCTAAAACAAATAAAATTGTGGTTAGACATTTGAGAACATGCAACATCTCAATAGAATTTACTGGAGAAAAATTTGTACTTGGTGAGATTCAAAGAGGAATTCACTATTTTGAAATGCTGAAAAATAATTGTTATTTCACAATTGTGTAGCAGGCAATTGGATTGTTTGAATGATGAACTGAACAGAAAATAAAATTTTAGATAATAAAGAACTAGTAATTTTGCTACATGATAAACCTATCCACATGCAGCTACTGTGTTGATATATCAATTGATCAGGAAGTTGAAATGGGGGAAGGTCATGTGATACATTCTCCACACCTATCACCTTTAGCACTTTTTTTTTATACTATTGTCTGCCTAATACAAGGCTCAAGAGCAACTCAAGGTGGAGGGTTGCTGAATGAGGTTGTTGTAAGAGTGTAAAAGGTGGAAGTAAGGAGTAAATTCATATGAGGATATGTAAGAGAGAACAGTTGACCCAAGACTTGAAGAAGTTAAGATTGATTCTGGTTTTTGATTGATTGAGTCATTCATTCATTTTTTACAG